TTGATTCCTGTTTTATTCCTGACTATAAAAGTAGTGAGATCCACACCTATAGTTGCTGTTTATGTCGTTGAAAAAGGTATTTGCAGTGAAAAAATTGATCTTGCAAAATTCTATCATGCAATCTCTAGCGTCATTTTTGTCACCAAGGCCATATTTTCCAACTATTCATGCTTGTTTCTAGCTTTCCCAATCACCAGTAATTAACAATACATCTTACTGCATGTTTGGTCAATTTCAGACCATAGAAGTTGATAAAAATCTTCAGTATTTTCATCTTTGGCTTCAGTGGTTGGTATGTAAATTTGAGTAATAGTAGTATTAACTGGTGTTCCTTGTAGGCATATGGATATTATCCTATCCCTGACAGCATTGTACTTCAGGATAGATCTTAAATGTTCTTTCTGATGATGAATGTGATGACATTCCTCTTCAATTTGTCATTCTTGGCATATTAGACTACATGAATATCTGATTCAAAAAATGGCCAATGCCAGTCCTTTTCAGCTCACCAGTGCCTAGAATATCAGTCCTTATGCATGCCATTTAATTTTCATCTACTTCCGATTTTCCTAGATTTGTACTTCGTACTTTCCATGTTCCGATTATTGATGGACGTGTGTAGCTGTTTCTTGCCATTTTAAGTGGTGCACTATCAGCAAATAATGTCCCAAAAGCATTATTACATCCTCATCATTAAGATTGACTCTATTTTGAGGAGACATCTCTTCCTCAGAGGTATTTTGAGTGCCTTCCAACCTAAGGAGCTTATCTTCCAGTGCTTTATCAGTGTTTCAAGGCTATTCATAAAGTTTTCCAGTAATAGTATTTCATTGCTACTCAGAAGTAAACCTGGCCATGATCTTCTACCTAGTCTGTCCTAGTCTGGAGCTCTGCTGAAACCTGTCCATCATGGGTTACCCTGCTGGTATTTGAAATACAGGTGGCATCACAGCCAGCAACCACAGTACAACAAACTGAAGAATTTTGCTTAGTTGTGGATTTAATACCCTACGTTATTAGCAGCGGAGATTCTGAAAGACAACTTATCTCCATTAGTTGTGACAGGAATTGGACACGAAGATGCCCCTCGTGTTGTGTACCTTGTCACCAATTCTGGATAGCAGCCTCTACACACTCCTAGTGGAGTTAACGCCGGGACAGAGGGTGGGGAGACACACAATGGACTAGTGACTGATTGGGCGTTGGGGGGAGACGGTAATTCCATTTCTGGGGACGCTCAGTACTGGCGCCGCCGGCGCGCTCTGGGTCGGAAACACTTGGAGTGGGCGGGTTTGGGTCACAAGCGAGCGAGGTCAGATGTTACAGTCCCTTCGAACCTGGCTGGAGCAGACAGACTTCCGGCGGAACCCGGCCCGACTCGCACTATAGTGCGTCTTGTCGACCAGGGAGCTACTGGGGACGCTTTTCATGTAGGAACCTCTTGTTCCTGAAGGCGCGACCCTTCCTCTAGCGCCTCCCCTCGGCCCTCCCTTCTCTCCCTGAATCAGTCTCGGCGAGCCTACCACTAGCAACCCGCTGTAAGCGCCACGCCTGGCCGAAGCCCGTGCGGTCTGGGACTGGCCCGCGGCCGTGGTGACCGCGGGTGTGGTCTACGCCTCCTGGAACTACGTCTCTGCCCTGTGGCCGCGTGGGGGCCACACCTGCGGAGACCCAGGGCTTCGACTCCAGCGCGCGGGCGCGCGGGAGTAGAGCACGAAACCCGGGCGGGGGGGATGGAGAGGGGGAAGGCGAGGAAGAGCCTAGAGAAGGGAAAGGAGACGGAGAAGGAGAAAATTAAGGACAAAAGAAAGGAGAAAGAGAAGGAAAAAGCGATAAAGAAGGAGTCAGAGGAGAAAATTAAGGGGAAAGAAAAGGAGAAAGGGAAAAGTACCGGGAAAGAAGAGAAGAGGAAAGAGCAAGGGAAGGAGGCAGAGAAAAAGAAGGAACAGTTAAAGGAAGAAGAAGAGGAAAAGAATAACAGCGTCTTGACGAAGCCCCCGACCGAGCCACAGGTAAGAGAACAGGTGCGGAGGTGATCCACCCGGGACCCTCTCCCTCAAGGCCATCGTCCTGCGTTCATATCCTTTCGGCCACTCTGTTTCTTCCGAGACCTTCCCCCTCTCCCTCCCAAGGCTCAGGAGGAAACCAAGTCTTTCACGGGCTCTTGTAGGAGCTCTGGTAGCGTAGTGCCTAAGGCACTTGACTGCTAACCGGAAAGCTGGCGGTTCAAACCCACCAGCCACTCCTGGGAAGGAAGGTTGGGCAATCTACTTCCCTAGTGATACCGCCTCGGAAACCAAAGGAGGGGTCTATATGAGTCAAAACCGACTCTGCGGCAGTGCGTTTGTGGATGGACGGGGATGGGGCACATTTGGAACAACCTGTGCCAGCTCCTTCTCGCGGAACCCCTGTCCATCCTAACTCCACGTTAGGACCCTCGTCAGGTCTAGTCTTGAGGAAGAATTGCTCATAGTTTTCACACAAGGAGTGGCCCTTTTCCTGCCATTATCTCTGTCTAGTGCTAAACCTTAATGTACAGACCACCTGACAACATTTAGAAACCAGCCTGAACTCTAACCTTCTAGGAAAACAGGCTCTCAAAAGGACTTTCTGTTGAATACCTTCTTTGTCGGTAGGTGCAGGAACTTGGCCACTCCGGAATTTATGCAGTCTCTTTTGGGCTGTTTGGTTCTATTTTCATGGGCCATGTGGTTACTCTCATATCTTGGTCATGTTATCATGAGAGACCGGTCCCTGGAGAAGGATATCATGCTTGGTAAAGTAGAGGGTCAGTGAAAAAGAGGAAGACCCTCAACAAGATGAAGTGACATAGTGGCTGCAGCAATGGGCTCAAACATAGCAACGATTGTGATGTATGTAGCAGGATGGGGTGGTGTTTCCTTCTGTTGTACATAAGGTTGCTATGAGTCGAAACCGCCATGACAGCACCTAACAACAACAACAATGTGGTTATTCCTTCCATTATTTTCAGACCTCCAGCATCCAAAAGGGATGATCACAAAGTTTTAACTGAGAGGTCTCAGAAACCAGTCATTGTTAAGTTTGATGGATTCTGTGTTGCTGGAGTTCCTGCACACTCATGGTGTTGCTATGAGTCTATAAATTTATAGCCTCGAAAACCCTGAGTAATGTAGTTCTATTCTGTACATACAGGGTCTTCATGAGTCAGAATCAACTGGATGGCAACTGGTTTGGGTTCTTTGGTTTGGCCATTAAAGACAATTACTAATGTAATTAGCAACTTCTCCAATAGGCTGTCTGGAAAATAGAATTCATTTTCTGTGAGCAATCTGGCTGTATTGTTGCTCATCTATTACTGTTTACATGAAAGTTTGCCTCCTAGAAACAGCCTTTCTGAGTTCTCTGAACATCCCAGTTCAGTCTTCACAGCAGCCTGCCCTTCTTGTTCCTCACTCAAGGTTTCTAAGGCTGCCATGTTGATGGAATGCATTTTTCTTTCTAAAGTTTCCTTCTTGTTCATCAGCTTTCAAAATAAATGCTCATTTGTGATCGGAACTGGTTGAACAGTTTCTGTAATTTTATCCTTTTTGCTCAATCATGAAACTTACATTAAAAAGTTTAAGAGAGGAGCCTTGGCTTAGGATCTTATAATCTAGTTACCTAATTGGGAAGACAAGACAAAATGAATAATATGAGGCATTAGATGCTTATGTGCTGAGTGGCATAGTCAATACATGGACCATTGAGTTCCCAAGACCCTAGATCACAAACTGAATGCTGATGTAGCACTTAAAACTTATGAACTCACAAAGCAAAATGAAGGGTGGAAATTGGCCCTGTGATCTGTGGCACCAGCCATAAATCCTGATATAATGTCTTTATTTAATAGATTGACCAGGAGTTGGGGTAGGGAGAGGGCGTATGATATTATCACATACTTACATGCTGATTATGAAATATAAACTGGTACAGTTATCATTCTATAAAAATTTTATTTTAATTTTGTTGAGAATACACACTGCAGAGCATACAGCAATTCAACAGTTTCTTCATGTACAATTCAGTGACACTGGTTACATTCTTTGAGTTGTACAACCATTCGCATCCTCCTTTTTTGAGTTGTTCCTTCCCATTAACCTGAACTCACTGCCCCCTAAGTTTCCTATCTAATCTTTTGAGTTGCTGTTGTCAGTTGATCCCATATGGATAGATCTTAAAAGAGCACAGTAGTCAAGGCAGACATTCTTTACTAATTAAGCTAACATTTGCTTGATTTTAAGAGGACTTCAGGGAATATTTTTTGGTTTAAGATTATTGGGTAAAGATTATTGTGGGCAATAGTTTCAGGGGTCAATCCAGTCTCCACGGCTCCAGATATTGTGAAGTCCATGATGATTTGATTCTGTTCTGCATTTTTCCTCTTTGGATCAGGATTATTCCATAGAATCATTGATCAAAATGTTCAGTAATGGTAGCCAGGTATCACCCAGTTCTTCTGGTCTCACGGCAAAAGTAGTAGTTATTCATGGAGGCAAATAGCCACACATTCCATTTCCTCCTACTAATCCTGACTCTCCTTTGTTCTTTGTTGATGCAGGCTAATAGAGACCAATTATTGTACCTTGGATGGTGTCTTGTAGGTTTTTAAGACTCCAGGCACTCTACAACAGAACTAGGAGGTAGAAGAGAAGCATTAACATGCTGTTAGGTCAGTTAACTGGGATGTTTTATGAAACCATGACCCTCAATGTCTAAATCAAGGAACCAAATCCCATGAGGCATTTGTACATAAGCAGCCTCAGCAACTACCTTTTTTTTTTTTTTTTTTTTGGTCATTGTTATAAATCTAGTCCTATACAATTTTTATGAAGGTCTGTTCTGTCTTACAATTCCGTGAATATCACTTGGTCCTACCACAGGTGCTTTGGGAGACAAAGAAAGAAAGAAAACCAAGTTCTACCCTTCAGGAGTCTACTGATTGAATGGGTTTATTGATTCATCTTTTGTTTCACAGGAGAAAAACAAGCAGATCATAGTGTTGGGCCTGGATGGAGCAGGGAAAACCAGTGTCCTCTACTCTCTAGCTTCAAACAGAGTCCAGCACAGCATGGCGCCTACCAAAGGTCTCCATGCAGTGTGCATCAACATTCAAGACAGACAAATGGAGTTCCTGGAGAGTAAGCCCATCTGCCTCATTGCAGTTATAGGATAGCCATATTTTGTTATATCTTAAGCAAAATATGATGTCGTCAACATTGAGTCCTCATGAAAAATAACACTGGATCACATTTTTCTAGACTTTTAGAATATATATAGTTTAATAATAGGGTACAACGTGAGCAAATAACTTTCTGCTTTTTGTATTTTCTCCTTTTAGCAGTGGTGGTAATAAAGGGGAATTTGGAGGTAGGTTTTAGCATCCCACTTATAATCTCCATTTGGAGGGAGACAGGCCCCACCCCAGAGGCAGGAAAGGGAGGGGAATGCTGGGGATAATGAAGCAGCAAGATCCAGGTAAGGGGAGGGCAGAGAGGTTTCGAACAGCTAAAGGAGACGAACTGGTCAGTTTGTCATACTGTTGTGGCATGTGTGTTGCTGTGAGGCTTGAGACTGTGCTGCCGTTGTTTTAAACACCAACAGGGTTGCACATGGTACACAGGTTTCAACGCAGCTTACAGACTGAGATAGACTAGGAAGAAGGACGAGGCCATCCACTTCTCAAAGAACTGGCCAGGGAAAACCTTATGAATAGCAGAGAAACACTGTCTGATATATTACTGGGCAACTTTATGATAGCTTGGAAACATTGCCCAATACAGTGCAGGAAGACCAGCCCTTAGTTCAGAAGGCACTCAAAATATGACTGGGAAAGAACTGCCTCATCAGAGTAGAACCAACCTTAATGATACGGATAAAGTAAAGACTTTCAAGACCTCCATTTGCTGACATGGCAACACTCAAATTGAGGAGAAACCCCTGCAAACATCCCAAGAATAATCAGAACATGGAATGTACAAGTATGAATCTAGGAAAATTGGAAGTTGTCAAAAATGAAATGGAAATCATAAAGATTGATATCCTAGGCATTGTTGTTGTTGTTGTTGTTATGTGCCGTCGAGTCGGCCCCGACTCATAGCGACCCCTCCTTGGGTTTTCGAGGCAGTATCACTACGGAAGTAGGATTGCCCAACCTTCCTTCCGAGGAGTGGCTAGTAAGTGGAAATGGACCAGTTTTGGCCATTTTGAATCAGACAACCATATGATCTACTATGCCAGGAATGACAATTTGAGGAAGAATGAGGTGGCATTCATCATCGCAGAGGATGTTTCAAGATCTGTCCTGAAGTACAGTGCTGTCAGTGATAAGATAATATCCATACGTCTACAAGGAAGCTCTGGTAGCATAGTGGCTAAGGCACTTGACTGCTAACCAGAAGGCTGGCGGTTCAAACCCACCAGCCACTCCTCGGAAGG